CAAGGCCATGGTGAAGTGCCAGCTGAGTCAGAACTGGGCCCTTCCACAGCCCTTTTAGCGCTTTTTGGAGCAGATGGAGCCATCTGTGCTGATGCTGTGTGGGCATCGGGTCTTTTCAGAGCTCTGCACACTTTCCTGCCTGGGGAGCAGTAAATGGAGATGTGATGGGTGTGGAGTGGATCGATCAGGGCATCACCCAAGAAGAGCGTCACGTGTAACTCACGTGTCTAAAGAGCCAAGAGATTTCACAGAGACATCCTTCCAGGCTCGGAGGTTGGGATTTCTCCCAGTGTCAGATCCAGGAGACTGGGGTCCAGGATTGTGGGAACACAGCATACAACACTTGAGGACTGTTCCTTTGACAGCCTCACAACCTATAACCTTATAGCAGAGCTGAGATGAGCACGACGCTACAGCAAGACAGGATGTGCAGACAGATAAGGGGCCTGTCCCAGGGATGAGAGAGCTGATGGCAGGTGCAGGGCCCCTTTGTATTTGAGAAACAGAGCTGGAGTGGCACCTCCCATGACAGTCTGGCGGGGACCACACGTAGCAGACTGAATCCCAAATCATCACAATAGCTCATGATTTGGGACTTCTCTGGTGGGCCAGTGCTTAAGATCCACCTTGCAACGCAGAGGACACAGATTGGATTCCTGGTCGAGGAGCTAGGACCCTACATGCCACAGAGCAGCTAAGCCTGTGGTCCACAACCAGAGTCTGCGCACAATGAGAGAGCCCCATGGCACAACGCAGATCCCACATGCCGTGACTAGGACTCAATGCAGCCAAATACGCTAATTGTAGAAAATAAGCCAAAAACACCTAGTTTAGAGTATTAAAAAAAAAAAAACCCTCATGATTCATACTGAGAAGCACGCTTAAACAGTATAGACCCAACAGAAGCAGATTTTAAGAAAAGGTGGCAAGAATACCTAGAAGAACTATACAAAAAAGATCTTAGTGACCCAGATAACCATGATGGTGTGATCACTCACCAAGAGCCAGACATCCGGGAGTCTGAAGTCAAGTGGGCCTTAGAAAGCATCACCACAAACAAAGCTAGAGGAGGTGATGGAATTCCAACTGAGCTATTTCAAATCCTAAAAGATGAAGCTTTGATAGTGCTGCACTCAATATGCCAGCAAATTTGGAAAACTCAGCAGTGGCCACAGGACAGGAAAAGGTCAGTTTTCACTCCAATCCCAAAGAAAGGCAATGTCAAAGAATGCTCAAACTACTGCACAACTGCACTCATCTCACACACTAGCAAGTAATGCTCAAAATTGTCCAAGCCAGGCTTCAACAGTACTTGAGCTGAGAACTTCCAGATGTTCAAGCTGGATTTAGAAAAGGCAGAGGATCCAGAGATCAAATTGCCAACATCTGTTGGGTCATCAAAAAAGCAAGAGAGTTCCAGAAAGACATCTACTTTTGCTTCACTGACTATGCCAAAGCCTTTGACTGTGTGGATCACAGCAAACTGAAAAATTCTTCAGGAGATAGGAGTACCAGACCACCCTACCTGCCTCCTGAGAAATCTGTATGCAGGTCAAGAAGAAATAGTTAGAACCGGACATAACGAACTGGAATAGGAAAAGGAGTACATCAAGGCTATATATTGTCACCCTGCTTATTTAACTTATATGCAGAGTACATCATGCGAAATGCCGGACGGGATGAAGCACAGGCTGGAATCAAGATTGCCAGGAGAAATAGCAATAACCTCAGATATGCAGATGACACCACCCTTATGGCAGAAAGCAAAGAGGACCTGAAGAGCCTCTTGATGAAAGTAAAAGAGGAGAGTGAAAAAGTTGACTTAAAACTCAACATTCAAAAAATGAAGATCATGGCATCCAGTCCCATCACTTCATGGCAAATAGGTGGGGAAACAGCAACAGACTTTATTTTCTTGGGCTCCAAAATCATTGTAGATGGTGACTGCAGCCATGAAATTAAAAGATACTTCATTCTTGGATCAACCTCAACAGCATGTTTAAAAGCAGAGACATTACTTTGCCGACAAAGGTCCGTCTAGTCAAGGCTATGGTTTTTCCAGTAGTCATGTATGGATGTGAGAGTTGGACCATGAAGAAAGCTGAGTGCTGAAGAATCGCTGCTTTTGAACTGTGGTGTTGGAGAAGACTCTTGAGAGTCCCTTGGACTGCAAGGAGATCCAACCAGTCCATCCTAAAGGAAATCAACCTTGACTATTCATTGGAAGGACTGATGCTGAAGCTCCAATACTTTGGCCACCTGATGCAAAGAACTGACTCATTGGAAAAGACCCTGATGCTGGGGGAGATTGAAGGCAGGAGAAGGGGGTGACAGAGGATGAGATAATTGGATGGCATCACTGACTCAATGGACATGAGTTTGAGCAAGCTCCCAGAGTTGGTGATGGATAGGGGAACCTGTCGTGCTGCAGTCCACGGGGTCTCAAAGAGTCAGACATGACTGAGCAACTGAACTGCCCTATTGCATTAGAGGAAGGATGCAAAGATAAACAAGATGCTATACCTGATCTCCGCACCCCACACCCCATGCTCATAGTCTGGGTGAAAAGACCAGAGGGGACCACAATACCATGTATAATAAACATCAAACTCATGGGTTGTACAGGTTGTTCTGTTGGTCTGAAAGACCAGGAAAACAGAAAGGCAGGTGACGTGTGAATGGAATGTGGATGAGTGAGAAAAATGAGACAAGGCTGAGGTCAGGGCAGAGGGGCAATGGGCACAGAGGCAGGGTGTGCTCTGGACACTGTGGCTCTGGGCTGCGGGGGCCAGTGGGGATGAGACAAGTGGTCTGCTTTGCCAAAGACACTGGCCTTGGTCCTGTGGTCATTGGTGTTGGGAGCTGGCAAAGCTATATACTGTGATCCCATTGATGCTATGTTGTGAGAAAGTAACCAAGGGCTGCATTAAGTCCTCAAGGTGATAAAGGAACAGTAAAGACGCTGGATGTTTCCATTTCTATGGCCATGTCACAATTACTGTCAAACTTAGTGGCATAAAACAACGGTTTATTTTGCTCAAAACTTTGCAATTTGGGAAGGACTTAGGGTGGGTGTGGGAGTAGTTCTGCTTGGCTCTTCTTGGCTCAGCTGGCATGGCTCAAAAGCATAGAGGCTAAGAAGTGGGGAGTTCGGAGGCATCTCCCGCTGTGGTCTCTCCCAGGTTCTCTCCAGCATGCAGGATGGGTGGACCTCAGGGTGAATGGACCTTTGACCTAGTAGTTTTGAGTGTCAAATACACATGAGAAGAGGGGACCAGAGAGAAGACATTCTTCCTTTTATGACCTGGCCCCAGATGTCACACAGCATCTCTCTGCCACAACTATTTGTCGGACATTTACAAGGATCTGCCAGGGTTCAAGGGCAGGTGGGAGGCAGGGTAGACTTGGTCTTTTCAAGTGAAAATGACAAGCTTCTAGAAGCGCGCAAGTGCCTGGAGATCCATCTATTACCATGACTCTTTTGGAAAAGAAAGTGTCTCACTCGGCACCTGCCCGACCCAGTATCCTGAAGTTTTACATACATTTTCTCACCTTCCTCTCCCCGCTACCTAAATTCTGCCCATTTTATATATTAAGAAATTGAGGCTTGAAGATGTTAAGAGGTCTGCCCGAAATCACACACCAAGAAGGGACGGAGCTGGATTCTGCTTGTGAATCTAATGATCCCAAGGCCCCATGTGCGCTCCCTGCTTCAGCTTCAGCCACGGGAAGGAGAGCATGGAGACAGACTTCAGAGTCATTGTTCTGCTCCAGAACGCTTCCACCAGGAAGAAGGGCAGGTGATTGATGAGCTGAATAGGACCAGTCGGATTCGGACTGTGTCTGCGTCATCGGTGCCAGATGACAGGCGCGTCCCATGTCGTCAGGGCACCCACCAAGGAGGCGGAGCTGACCGGTGTCACTTTTCAAGGGCCGGGCACTGTGCATTAACTAATTTAATATTCCCAGGTATTATTATTGTTGCTGTTATTAGGTGTCAAGTCATTCATTAAGGTTGTGCAGAGAGAATACCCCCAAGGGACTTCCCACCTCCTTGGTATGAATCCCTTTGCCATCCAGTAACACGATGACATGAGTAAATAAAGTGATAGCCTTCCCTCTCAATGGCACCATTGGCCATGGAGTGGTCAGGAAGGCCCGTCTCTGGAGTCAGATCGGTCGAGTGGAAACCAGCCCCACTGTTTACTAGCTGTGAGCCTGGGCCCATCACTCAGCCTCTCAGTACCCCAGCATCCTCACCTGTAACATGTGAATACAGTCTCTTTCTCATAAGGTTCCCATCAGAAGTATAAGACACCCCGGGTAGTAGCCGGTGCAGACCTTGGCCAGGAGAAAGCACGTGAGAGATGCCAGCTATTGTTCTTAGTATGCAGGCCGGTGCCAAGGGCTGCTTGGTGAGTTCTCATGGTCCAGGGTCATGCATTGTTTTCCACAGGAGTCCAGGAAGCAGCTGATTTTACTGGCCTTGTTGGGGTGGAGATGGAGTCAATCTGTCCAGCCAAATGCAAGGGATAAGCCAACCAATGAGACAGCGGAGGAGGAGAGTAGTTTGCGGACGTTGTGCAGCTTCATAGACACTGGAAGGTGCAGAGAGCTGGCCCCAAACACAGAGGTGTGACTGACGCCCTGAGTCAGGGCCCACACAGCTATATCCCCGATGGGCCAGAGACCCTAGATTCAGGCTCCTGTGCTTTGGGTTAGCAAAGGAGCTATGGATGAGCTACAGATGAAGCCACCAATAATTGTCAGCATCTTACCACCTGTGTCCTCCATTCTTGGCCCAACCCACTTTTGCTTTTAAGAAGAAAGAAAGCTCTCTGGTGGTGAAGCACACAGTCCTCCCCGGCACTCTGCAGCAACCTTTTCAGCTCAAGCCAGGCTGCAGTCCTTCCTGCTGGCAGAGCTGGGGTCTGGTGGACAGGTGCCCAGTGGTCTGGAGCGGAGTTGAGAGATCACAGCAGAGAGAAGAGGCTGCGCACCTCCCAGCTGGGTTCCTGTCCTTCGTTCCTGCTCTCCCAGCCCCGCTGTGCTCCTGTCCTTCTGGTGACTCGGTGAGGCGCCAAAACATCTCTCCTCTTGCCCAAGCTGGCGACTTGTGTCCCTGCCGTCATCCATTGCTCAGGGTCCCAAGAAAGGTAGGCACAGGAGGGCTCCTGGGTCAGCCCAGGCAGCTTGCCCCCCACGCCCACCTCGAGGGAGAATCCAGAGTGTGGCATCCTTCCAAACACCTCAGAACCAGACCTTGGGGTGTCCTCACTGTGCAACCCCCTTGTCAGACCTCTGACAGTTTCAAATGTGAGAATGCTTCCCGTCTTACTATGGTATCAACTCTGCAGGTTTCCTTGTCAGCTAAATCTGCCCTTTTCTCCTTTCCTTTTTGAAAAGCAAGAATCAACATTAAAGACTATAGCTATACCTTACATTTCCACCTTCTTGACAGCAGACACAGGCCCCTGAGTCCAGAGATGAGGAATGATCCCTTCCACCCCACCGTGCGTTTCAAGTGGGAGTTTTACAAAACTTCTGTTTACACACAGCTTTCACAAAGCACGTCACTTTCATGTTCTCAAAATCTCCATCCCTCCCGTCTCTCACCTCCTTTGAAGTTGGCCAGCGTCTCCCACAGGAGACCTGATTGTGAGCTTTCTGACATTTGTTTGCTTACTTGTTTCTATCTTTCATCTTTCCCACAAGGATTCCGGGAGGCTAGCAGCAAAGTACACACAGAGAATGGTTCATAAAACAAAAATAGGAGACCTTTGATGTTTGTGATTTCAAATTCCCAGTTTCAGCTCTTCTTTAGTAATGCTGAAGATCGGTGACGTAGAATTTGGAAATCTCTTGGAAGTCAAGCCACTCAGCCTCAGACCTTTCCTAGGAGGCAGGACAGTCTGCACACTCCAGAATCAATAAAGGGTTGCAGGCTCATCCCATTCCCTCCCCAAGCCCAGCGGCGCCATCTGGGACAGAGCCAGCAATGGGCCAGGGTGGCCAGCCTCCCAGGCAACTCACTTGCCTCCTGAATCATGAGGCACCGTCCAGGACCGTGCTGATGCCAAAGGGGATATCTGTGGGAGGGGCAGGTGTGTCCTTACAAGTTCAGTGTGTTCTCCTGCCCCTAGTGTGTTGGATAATCAGATGCAGCTTCGAGAATTTCTATGAATGCTGGAGAGGCTGTGGACATTCCACTATTGGTAGGAATGTAAATTGGTGCAGCCACCATAGAAAACAGTGTGGAGGTTCCCTACAAAATTAAAAAGAGAGCTACCATATGCCACTACAGCAGCAATGCAACTACTGGGCATACACCCTAAGAAAACCATAATTCAAAATGACACATGTGCCCCGACATTCATCGCAGCACTGTTTACATCAGGACAGGGAAGCAACCCAGATGTCCAGACAGATGAGTGGATAAAGAAGACGTGGTACATATATGCAACGGAATATTAGTCATAACAAGGAACGAAATTAGTTCATTTGTTATGTGGATGGACCTGTAGTCTGTCATACAGAATGGAGTAAGTCAGAAAAAGAAAAACAAATATCTTATTTATACATTAACGGATACATGTGGAATCTAGAAAAATGGTACAGATGAACCTACCTCCAGGAAGGAACAGAGACGCAGACAGAGAGGACAAGTGTGAACACAGAGGAGAGGGGGAGGGTGGGAAAAACTGGGAGATTAGGATTGACACATATACCTGTGTGCATTCTAAATCGTCTCAGCCATGTCCAACTCTTTGCAACCCATGGACTGCAGCCCACCAAGCTCCTCTGTCCATGGGATTCTCCAGGCAAGAGTACTGGAGTGGATTGCCTTGCCCTATTCCAGGGGATTTTCAGACCCAGGGATTGAACCCGTGTCTCTTACATCTCCTGCATTGGCAGGCGAGTTCTTTGCCATTAGGCCACTGGAGAAGCCTGACATATATCCACTAACATGTAAAATAGACAGCTAGAGGGAACCTGATATAAAGCAGGGAGCTCAGTTCAGTGTCTGCAATGACCTACGTGGGTGGGAAGCGGGGAGGTGGGTGAGAAGGCCAAGGGGGAGGGGATATGTATATACATAGAGCTGATTCCTTTCACTGTACAGCAGAAAATAACACAGTATTGTAAAGCGCTTATGCTCCAATAAAAAATAAAACCACACCAAAAAAAAAAAAACCTAAAAATAGAGCTATCATATGCTGTATTGACAGATAAATGGATCCATAAGATGTGGTATACACACACACACACAGAGGAATATTTCTCACCATAAAAAGAATGGAATGAAATAATACCATTTGTAGCAACATGGATAGACCTAGAGTTTATCATACTGAGTGAAGTACTGATAAAATATCATATGATATCACTTTTATGTGGAATCTAAAAAATCACAAATGAATTTATTTACAAAACAGACACAAACTTAAAGATATAGAAACAAATTTATGGTTCCTAAAGGGGTAAGTGGTTGGGGGAGGGAGATAAATTAGGAGTTTGGGATTAACAGATACTTACCACTATATGCAAAATAAATAAATAATAGGGATGTACTGTATAGCACAGGAAATTGTATTCAGTATCTTGTAATAACCTATAATGAAAAATCATCTGAAAAAGCATATATGTGTACATGTAAATATAGAGAGAATTGCTTTACTGGACACCAAAAACTAATATAATATTGTAAATCAAGTGTATTTCAATAAAAAAATTAAAGAATTATTAAATGACAAATCTCCATAGTCCTTCCTCCCAAACAGAAGGCTCCCAACCCTCCCATCTGGGTCTGGGGTTTTGCCCCACTTCCCAGGTAATAAGCTAGCCTGTTACAGTTCCAGGGAGGCTGGCAGAAGGCATGGCACCCCTATTCACAGCACAGAAAGCAGTGTGAGCATCATGTTGGCATTTCCCATGTACCCCTGGCCACCAGGGACGACTTCATACAGGACCATGCAGCTGGGTCCAGGTGGATGTGGGCCATGCAGTGGGCTTGCATCAAAGCTGGAGATCACTGAGCTTGAGGCAGCCATGCTTTCAGAGAGCCTGGTAAGCAAGCCTCCTCTTTGTCCAGAGGGAGACATTACCCTGACCCTCAAGGGGGCTTGCAGCAAATACAACCCTGAAAACTGGTCTACATAAAGAACAGTCAGGGCCTTGCATTCTTGGCATACCCAGGAGAGGTCATCCCTCTCAACAACTTTCCTGGATGAATTTGGGGTGGGACTTCCCAGATTCCCAGTCTCCTCCAGGTCAACCAGGATGGCCGAGGGTTTCTTGGCTCTGGGTCCGTGACGTCCACATTCCCAGCCCACAGCCCTCCAAGTCCACAACCTTGACTGCTGATCTGATATGCACGAGCCCGTGGTAGCTGAAACGTGGGGCCCAGACACTGCCGGGCACCATGCCAAGCCCTCTGTGTGCCTTATTTCATTGAATCCTCACACCTTTGGAAAAAGTGTGACCCATCCCTGTCTACCATTGGCAGATAAAGAAACTGAGGTTCAGAGAAGGTAAGGGCCCTACTGTCTGTCAGCCAGCTAGTAGGTGATGGAGGCAGATACTGGCCACAGTCTGGCTGCCTCCACATTCCAAGCTCCTTAGCAGTGTTTCTGTTACTTTCCTGGTTGAGAAGGAATGGGTGGGACCTCCTGGTGGTCCAGTGGTTAAGACTTCACCTTCCAATGCAGGGGATGTGAGTTCAATCTTTAGTCAGGGGCTAAGATCCCACATGCTTCGTGGACAGAAAGCAAAGCATAAAACAGAAGCAATATTGTAATGAATTCAGTAAAGACGTTAAGAATGGTCCACATTAAAAAAAAATCTTAAAAAAAGAAGAAATGGGTTTTTCCTTTTCATTCTTTCTTTCTTTCCTCCTTCCTTCCTTCTTTCCTTTATTTCTCTCTTTCTCTTTTTATTTCTTGTTTATTTTCAATTATTATTATTAGCAAATGCTTCCTCACTGAAGGGCATCTTACACTGACCTCCAGCCTCTATCTCTACCCAAAGGCCTGGTTGGGAGTCAGTAAGTTCACATAGACCCTCACAGAATTCTATTAGGGTGAGCAAAGGTACACAAAGGAGCCAGCTGAGCAGGACCAGCCCTGGAGGCCGATCTTCTGGGCTCCTGGAACCACCCATCATGGCTCCACTTCCTCATAAAGCAGTGACTGCAGCCATGCCAGGCATGCTGAAAGATCGAATGGCCCCTTTAGCAAATTAGACAAAGGCGCCCTCCCTCAAGACTTTTGATTAACATTTGCACATTTGCTGGAAACCTATGATTGTAAACATGTATATCTAGGGAGGTGCCTAAATGCATCCACTTCCTGCAATTGGCTAGTGCCCAACCGATACAGCCGTACTGGTCAGGCCAAGTCACACAGTCCTGGTTCTACACTGGTTCTGCCATTTACCAGCTGAGTGACCTTGGGCAGGTCACTGGACTCACAGAAGCTTGGTTTCTGATAGAATGGAGTCCATGTGGCCCCCTTGTCTAACTTGCTCACAGGTTTAAATGGGGAAACAAGAAAGAGCTGTTGCTTAAGACCCAGAGGGAGAGTTTTGCTTCTTGGAATAAGATGGAAATACTCAAAATCAGAAGCTGGGGCCTTGTCCTAGGGGGACTTGCAACTCCCACCCCCTGCCAGCCTCCCCACCAGCCACGGGGGTTATGGGAATCCTTTTAAGGCCTCATGTGTTTTCTTTTTCACACTGGGAGATGAGCTGGGCTAGTCATTGAGGTTTGCCATCAGTTTCCTCTGCTCCTACTTTCTCAGTGACCAGTTCCTCCCCTAAACCCTACCCCGCTCATTGCTTTCCTATTATTTCTCCTATTCAATCTACTTTCAGAGAATGAATTGGTAAGCCTCAATGATTCTCAATGGACATGAGTTTGAGCAAACTCTGGGAGATGGTGAAGGACAGGGAAGCCTGGTGTGCTGAAGTTCATGGGGTCACAAAGAGTCAGACATGACTTAGTGACTGAACAACAACAATGATTCTTTGGAAAAGTGAAATAAAGTCGCTCAGTCATGTCCAACTCTTTGTGACCCCATGGACTGTAGCCTACCAGGCTCCTCCATCCACGGGATTTTCCAGGCAAGAGTACTGGAGTGGGTTGCCATTTCCTTCTCCAGGGGAATCTTCACAACCCAGGGGTCGAACCCGGTCTCCTGCATTGCAGGCAGACGCTTTACCCTCTAAGCCACCAGGGAAGTTGCTTCTAAATAACTTTAGGCCAAAAAGAAAAAAAAAACCTGAATCTAATCAATGCATTTGGATCTCAGGAAAAGATATTTGGGAGCCAGTTCCTACATATAACGTGGAAATATCACCAAGAAGTTGACCATCTGTTCTACTTTTGAAAAATCTAGAATAAAGGAGATGACCTGGTGTCAGAACTTGCTGCCTCTGAACCCCTCTAGTGGTTCACCATGGAAAAGGCCACCATTCTCCTAGGATGGAGACTTGAAAGTTCTGCCAGCCCCATGCTGGCTTCCAGCACCTGCCTCACTCTTTAAACAGTCATAGTAATGAGGTGAGATATTATTTGGGTTTCCTGGTCATCTTCTGATGTCTAGAGGGCAAGAACCTCTCTGTCTCTCAGATTGTTCAAGAGCCCAGGCCTCCAGGCCAACCTCAGTCTTTAGCAGGGGCAACTCTTTAGACTCAGTTTAGCCTCAGTTTTCTTATCTGTAAAATGAGATTAATGACATCTGGTTTCTGCTGCTCATAAAATCATTGTGAGGATCAAAAGAGACAATAAAGGAGAAGGAGGTGAAAACTGCATCCATAAATAAACGTTAAAGTAGCTCTGTATGCTGTCTAGCCATATGCAACTGCTTAAATTTATTTTTTTAATTTTTTTTTTTTGCTTAAATTTAAATTGATTAAAATTTTAAAAAATTCAGTGCTTCAGTCACACTGGCTACATCTCAAGTGATCAGTAGCCACGTGTGGCTCATGGCTACCATATTACAGAGCACAGATCTAGAACATTTCTATCATCACAGAAAGTTCTGTGGGACAGTTCTGCAGCCTAGAGAACTGAAGAACAAACTTCACATTCCCCACTTCCGTTCGGCCCTTGAAGGAGAAAGTTTTCATGCAGCAGTCTGTAAGTCTAGGAAGACGCCAGGATCACCCTGGGGGACACAGTTCACTTTGGCATGGACTCGTTCATTTTGTGTGTGCGTGCGTCCCACACGAATACACAGTGCACACACAGAGAGAACCTGCTATGTCTCGGCCAAGCACGGTACTAAGCTCATCGTCCTACCAGGAGGAGGGCCTGGTTTGTGCAGGTATGTTTCTGCCTCAGGGTCTCTGGATAAGAGGCTGTGAACAGTGCAAGGAAGTGTTATTCACCTGTCAACCTCCTGCCTCACAAACACACAACTGAAGTGGCTCCTGTTGCCTCTGGGAAAATCTTCCTGCCCTCTCGACACGTGGTCTGAGTCCTCCTATTCCCTCCCGTAGTCCCCTGTTCTTCCCTTTTCATTGCACTTAGCAAATTGTATTGCAGCTGGCTGATTTGTTTTCTGTTAAAAGGTAAGCGCTCTGAGGTAGGAGCCAGATTTGTCTCATACTCTTGCATCTTCAGCCTGTCATACAGGGCTTGGACCATACATAGTAGATGCTCAGAACTGTTAATTAATGAGTGGTATTTATGGATGGGCGGATTTCCTGCATTCCCCTGCACAAAGCCCTCAGTTATGGCTGCTGGAGATTCTCTTTATGCTGGGACACCAAATGCTTTTCAGGGCGAGGGCTAAAAAGGCAGCACATGCTGAGTGGGAAAAAGCACAACTTGATTTCTGTTTCTGGCAGTTCAGTTGACAAAAACAAAGTGCTGGATGAAATTTTTAAATTGTATTTAAAAAAAACTGCTAACTCACACAAAAACTTGTACACAAATGTTTATAGCTGCATTACTCATGGTAGCC